TTACCCGACATTATAAGGAGCAAATACCAAGTGATCTTGACCCAAATGAAGCTTCAACATGTCTGTTATATGTTGATGTGGGTTGACATTGAGCTTCTCATCAAGCTCATATGGAGATATGAAGGAGAACCTATTTTCTTTATCAGTACCATGCAAGTAGGCGTCACATAAATACCTTATAATATAATTGAAGGTCAACAATGAATTAAGTTCAATATATATTAACATAAAGTAAACAACCTAAACAAATATAAATTAAGTATTTATTATTGTCTGATGTACAAGCAAATGCTAGAGGCACTTAGCCACTCACGACGGATAACCTCTAGTATGTTTTCCTTCCCCACAACATCATAAAACTCCTTTCCCCAATACTTCTCAGGTAATTGAATATTAGCATATTCAATTGCCTGATCGCTCCTAACAAATAACTTCATCATGTCTAAGCATACACCACCTTGAGCCAAAACCATGTCACTAAGTTTTGATGAAGACACAACATCCTTTTTCTGTGGACCAACAATTGATTCCTTTGTGTGGCCTGTTTCTATTTCCTTACCCTTAGTGGATGCTACTTGAACCTAAAATTAATCATGTAAATTTTCAATTAACTATGACTAAATCAAAGTTAAATGTGTAATTGGTGTAATAAATGAACTGTAATACCTTTGGTCGTAAAATGATTAATGACAAAGGCCAAGCAACATAGATCTTCTTCAATAACATTGGGGATGTCTTCCACATGATCATTTTCCTCAGAATTTAATGTCTCCGAGTAAAAGCTATTTACATTTTTTCTAAGTGACGAAATATCTCTTTCTATCTCACCATGTTTGGTCCAGTTTATATATTTATCATTAATTCCATTACACATTAGATGTTCTTCCAACTCTTCAACATTTACTCGCATCATATTCAAACAACACCAACAAGGGCAACAAATGAGGTTTCGGTCATGACTATGGTCAATTGCAAATTGAATAAACTCCTTCACTCCATCTTCATATACTTTGCTTAAACGATCGACTTTCATCCAACTTCGATACATATTTGTCTGAGGCACACTAAATTTGTTACATCCATATGTTATCTACTATTTTTGTCTCACAATGTATGACCCTATCCCATTTGAGAATAAAGTTTTCCATGTCATAATTATCATTTGTTAATTAAATATTATATTGTATACTTAATCTCTAATACAAAAACTATCAGCAAAAACAGCATACATAATCTCTAATACAAAATATTTCACGATCACACTAAACCATGTATATATCCTAGCCAATATATTCTAATTCAAAACACAATTTCATATCATAATGTAGGCAAACCCTAAACCCTAAACCCTAAAAAATATATAATGCACTAACCTATTGTAGACCTCCCAATAAGCGCGTCCTACAACAACATTGGAAAATGGAGACTGGAACGCGAACTTGACGACATACAAATATATTACAATGTAATATGCTTCAATGAGAGCAAGAGAATCAGAGAGATTGAAGACACAAAGAACGTACCTTTAACTTAATGGAAGACGCAGAGAGCGAGAAAGAGAGCACAAGGAGCGTGAATGAGAGCGGCAAAAAACGCAGACACAAAGAGCGCGAGGTTGAAGAAAGTGGGTGTAGGGTTTAAAAAAATATGACTTTAGATAGCGGTTGGCCAAATAACCGCTATCTAAACTAAATTTATTATAGTGGTCCCACAAAGTAATCGCTATCTAATTTTATGATAGCGGTTCCACGTGTCAATCGCTCTTTAAAGGTATGACATTAAATAACGGTTGTCACACAACTGCTATTATAAATTATTTTAGAAAGTGGTTCTTTCTGAACTGTTATTAAAACATACTTTAGAGAACGATTTACTCCTAACCGCTATCTAATATGTATTTTTAAAAGTGGTTTTTATTAACCGCTATCTAAAGTATCGTGATATAAGCCCATTTCTATTGTAGTGTAGTGTGTTTTAGGGGATGTACGTGGAGGACTCACACTTGAGGGGGAGATTGTTAGAAATTCAAGTGTGATTCTAAGTCTCATATTAAATATAAATGAGAAAATTGAACAATATATAAAGAAGAAAGACTCATAACCTAATGTCTTAAGATTTTGGGTTGAGAGTGATATCACATTCTCATATATAGTTGGCTCGGATCTCATTTATGAGAATCTTCTTGTTGTTAGCCCCTTTGAAAAGATTCTCCAAGTTGTTCACAATAAATATCTATACAAATATAAAGAGATATAAAATAAATTTTATATTTGATCTGATATAAAAAAATATTTTTAAATTATATTTGATCTGATATAAAAAAATATTTTAATTTAAAAATATCACCATAATTTTTTTTACGTTGAATATTTACTAATTTAACAAGAAAAAAAAAACCTTACGTAAATACATTTTGTATTCGTGTGAGTTTTAATGTCAACTTAATTTAAATGGATGAGTGTTGAGTTGAGAATGTTAATTTGTTTTACGAGTTGGTGGGGACCATCTTAATTATAGGCGTTGGGGGCAATGATACCCTTATGGGAGGAAGCCAAATTGGATTGAATATAATACTCTAAAATGATCTAAGAGAATTGGTTGGGTTGGGTGCGTGCAAAATGGTACTTTGAACAAGGTTTATTCATATCCACTGCTAACTTTAGTTCTTTAATTTGAACTTTAGTTGTATCATTGTTTTCTTCAAGGGGCGCGTGGTAGCAGTTGTGAATAAAAACACTTGACGCATTTTATTATACCATTCTTTCGGCGTTTGTAGAAAGATAATATTACACAATGACCAAAAAGTTAGACTTGTTCTATTATTAATTTCATGAACAAATATACATATGTAATGGAATTCAAATATAAGAATAAGGAAGCATTTTGTTCAAAAGATAATCGAAGTGCAAAAATATATAATATTAAATAATTATTTCTAAAATACTCTCTCCCTATATGTATAATATAAAAAATTACTTAAAAATAAATTAATTTTTGACAATAAACTTTTTAACACAAACAAATAATAAACGTTAATGAATAACTAAATATTTTATGTTAAATACAAGCAATAAAAGTAAAAAAAAAAAAAATTGACGAGAGAGTAATTCCAAATATTGTGTCATTTTATAGAATAAAGTATATTTCATTTCTAAAATAATCACAAATATTGAGGTTTTATGTTTGACATATTGAAATGATAAATTATGCTAAATTTTGTATTAAAAAAATGATTAAATTTGAAGACAATATCCACGTACAACATCAATAGTAATGTAAATGGGTAACAAAAATAATAGTTTAATTATATGTTTAATCTCTTATTCAGTAATATCTTATAATATCTTATAAAATATCTTATAAAATTCAGTAAAAGCTAACGTAAAACATGTAAGGTGTTTAATTACTTGCCAACCATTTTTTTACGTGAATAATTGTGTGTCACAATTGCTAGAGTGAAATTCTGATAGTAGTTAAAAAAATTAGCTATATATATAGTTAATATACGTTAATTAGGCATGGTATTTTCTGAAAGATACCATGCGTTAATTTGCTAATAATTGTCATAAAACAAGCTCACTTTATGTTTTTTTTTTTATATTAAAATTTAGTATCTATCCAAATATAAGCCATCTTCATTAAGATGATTCACATATATTCTCCCACTTCTCTTTCGCTCTCTCTCTCAGAGTGGAGGCCTTTTGTTCTTCTCTTTGATTCAGTTACATATTCTGATTCAAGAAGAAAATAAGAAGCAGAATTCAGTTAAGGTTTGCGTTCTAAACTTGCATCTAAGGAAGTTTTTCTTCTTTTTTATCATCATATCACTATCACTTAGGTTATACCTACTTCTTTATCTTTATCTCTCTTTTTATAACGTGAATCAACCAAAGAAAGTACTGTTTCTACTACTTGGTTCGAAGATCCACAAGGATCAAACACGTTAGAGAAATCCAGCAAAAAAATCTCTAGCTTGTTGGCTTGTTTGGGGCATATAGCTGTTCAGTTCTTGTTCTTCAAATAAAACAGTGTTCATCCCAACCCTATTTTGTTATCTTTAGCTTCTTCTACCTATGGATCTAGCTTTTTGACCTATGTTCCTTTTTTTTTTCTTCCTCTGGTTTTCAAGCTTGGGATATTTTTATTTAGATGCAGACCCACGAGATCGATCTTGTTGTGTAAGGAACTGAACTGAACTGAACTGAACCTCTTTGTTTCGTTTTATGCGATTTAAGTCCTATCCCTTTCTCTCTCTTAATTGTTTCATGTAGAACAATGATCTGTTAGGGTTTACAAATCAATTATTCGGTAGCTCATAAAAAGTGAATACTAATAGGGTTGATTCAAGTGCATAATTTCCTAATTACAAGAAGCTTATAATTGGTTTAAGATTCAGACATTGAAGACAAATTATGGCAAACTTCTTTTGGTCGCAGTAGAAGAGTAATGTAAATTTTATAAGTTTTACCAACTAGCATGGGAGGACTTTGACCTTCTCTCTCACATTTTCCCACTCCTTTCTTTCACGATCTGTTACTTTGTTTCTCTCCTTTTATTGTCCACCCCTAATCAACTGTTAATACATATTTTTCACCCTCTTGCTTTATTACAATCATTTCCCGTAAAATAAGTCATACTCCTAAATATAATACAAAAAGGTTAAATCATGTATTAAACGCATGATCTTTTTTTAAGCATATTCTTTTTTCCACACATTTTCCAACCAAAACAAGTCATAAACATAATATATAATTAAAAAAAAAGTGAAATCATATATATTAAATGCATGAGTTTGTGTTCATTTACATATAGTTTATATACCACGCTCTTATACAACTTTGTTATGTATACTACTAATGTTACATAATATTTTATAATACCCTTGCGTACCCGATTGTTCTTCTACCCAGAAATTTATTTATTAATCTTTTTAAAATTTATTGTAGGCACCAAATTGCAAAGCTTCCGAACCTGTACGTTCAAACCCCACCAACAAAACCATGTCTACGGAACATGCAGGTAGAAGAACTCTTCTTTATATAAATGCTATTCGTTCGGATTTACAATTTGAATATTTTCATTCGTCACTTTTGCTAGAATCCATTCTTCACCATCATTCAAATTTGCGTTAGTAGAAGAGTTAGAGTAATCCTTGATTACCTTGTTGTTCTTCAAATTCACAAACTTTGTGACTCATCTACTTCATTCATTTCTCTTTGCAGAACTTTCCTTGGAGGCGCCAATTTATGAAGCTTTCCTCGCCATTTCTCCAAAATCTGTGCTTTCCTTCATTAGCACAGCTCTCTCTGTTGTCCTTGTGTTCTTTTTGCTGCTTGTATTCGCAGCTTATCTTCTCACTGTTTCTCTTACTACTTCATCCAATGGGCCATGGAAAACCATGGAGAAATTAAACAGCAAGGGAAAGGGAAGAGAGAGCGATGTTAACCATAGAAAAAAGAACAACTTTCTATCAGCTAGATACAGTAGGAGTGGCAAAGAGACAAGCCAACCAAATAACCCTAACCAACATGACAACTACAAAGCGGATCACAGTTTTGACTCTTCCCCCAATAATCCATGCGTAACTGACAGTTCAACTGGCCATGGCTATGGAATTCGTAACTGCTTTAACAACAATGGCGATGGGGAGCAAAATTACAGCTATTGTAGGATTAACAGTCTTGCAAGTATAAATTCCTACAACAATAACGCATTGGGTTTGCAAGATCTGAGTCATGCAAAGATTTATGCTTCTAGAACTGAATCTGCCTTTAACAACAGCAGCTCATGCTCACAAACTTTCAGGCGGGCAACGATTGACAATCGAGACGACTCTAACGAGCTCAACGCCAGGGACAACAGTGCTGCAATTCGTGACATCTTCACAAATAATGGAAAGAACGGAATCCAAAACTTCGATGATTTCCACATTTTCAGGGGGAAAGTAATGGATGAACACCAAAGTGGTAATTGACACCCAAGAGAGAGAAAAAAAACAATAGGTATGATAACTATTATACTATAAATATATGTTACGGGACCAATGTTTCTAATTTTACTTAACTACTTCTATCATTTGAGTTTGTCACTTTTAAAATTGTGTCTGATAAGTTATAAGCCGTGGATTATAAATATAATTAGGTGTTTTTTTACCTTAATTCCATCTATCTGTGAATACATTGTACTTGTGCTATATTTGTATCGTTTTACCTTAATGCTTATAAATATGTATGTATTGCTTGACTGGGGAGTTGAGTGATTCACATAATTGATGGGTTTGTTGATTTTTGTGTATGTTGTCTTCATTCAGGTGAGGGATAAAATATATCAGATGTGAATGGTATTGTTGTGAAATTATTATTATTTTCTGCATTATATACTTTCTATTTTTAAATGTTCTAAATTTTCACATTCATCGAAATTTACGTAGTGACAGTAATACCATTTAAAATTGTTACATCAAGCCATATATTTTGTCTACTTTTTTTTCAAGTTAGACATGTGATGGAGGTATCACATCTCATTATAATGTTAGATTCCTTTTAAATGTTAATACGGCTAAAACTTACTTAACTTTTGTTGTGGTTGTTGTTTTGGACAAAAAAAATTGTCTTTTTTTTTTATTTTTTATTGTGGACCAAAAATATTCTTTATATATTCTGACATGCTTTATTGAAGGGGTGCATTGGTAGTCTCACTCTATCTCATATCATGTAAGATTTAAATACTTGATTGCATGTAGAGCAGTAACAACTTTTTAGTCATCCCTATCTATACTTCGGTGTTAGGCGAGAGATGATTGTTTGTATTAGAAAAAAATTTAAATATTGAAATTTGTCCGATTAATTTTAAATTTGGTTGGTCAGGTTTCAAATTTTATTTTTACTATGAAAAGTTACCCTACATTCGGAGTGTGTATTTTTGTTTTATTTGAGTGAACTTACTCCTCTGATTTGATCTGAGTGTGATTATTGTTTCATTTGACAGGGAACGTAATGAAGGTGTTTTTGGAGAGGATTTATTTAATGGATGTGGTAGCCTTTCTGTAGGCGATTATGATCTAATAGTATTAATGGATTTAAGATGAAGATACAAGATACAAGATTCAGATTTTTGTTTTGGATTATTGTGATGAACTAGGAAGAATTTGTCTTATGCTTTTTAACTATATGTCTATTTTATTATATGGATGTTATATTTGAACTTGTTGAATTGAAAATCTATTTTTAAGTTATAACTAGAACGGTGAAAATGGATGGTTCAACTAATCTAGTATAACCTTATAGATTAAGTCAAATTAATTGATGATATAATTTAATTTATATTTTAAAACAGGTTCTAATTTTTAATTTAATTTTATTATGTTAGGTTAACTGGTTAATATGTAAATTTTGATTTAATGAAAAATAAAAAAATTATACTAAGATAATTAATTAAAAAATATTTAAATAAAAATAAAAAATATATTTTGTTACGGGAAGTTATAAAATAATTTATTTTGTTCTTACTTATGTAAAAAATTTGCGTTTATCTTAAATGAGATGATGTTAAATCACGAGACATTCATTTATATTATGTTTTAAATAAAGTATATATATATATATATATATATATATATATATATATATATTAAATATTTTTAATAAATGGCATCTATTGTTTTCTTTTTAATAGTGATATTCGCCTTCTTTAAGTTATTCAAATGTTAGATTGATTAAAATTTAAATAAAAAAATTTTAAGTTTTAAACTATATATAAAAAAATAAAATTACAAACAAAATTAATTCTTTTACTTAAAATACGTTAAAATATCATAAAATCATAATACCACTGTGTTACAATAATCTTAAAAACTATAAAAGTTATATTTAAAAAATAGTATTTTAATACACTACAAGAAATTTTAATATTACCGACGGTTAAAATCCGTCGGTAATTATCGACGGATATATCCGTCGTTAAATGTTTTATGAAATTAAGTTAGAGACTGATACTCCAACCACTAAGCTACTAGAATTTTTTTATAATAATTTACAAATAAATTATATTTATATACAAATATATTTATATATTTATATATAATTAAATATTTTTATATATTTATATATATTTATATATAATTAAATATTTTTATATATTTTTATATATTTATATATAATTAAATATTTATTTTTTAAAATTATTTAATTTAAGAAATTATTATAAATTAATCTAATTATGATTAAATTAAATTATTAAATAAAAAATATTTAATTTTTTAATTAGGTGAATATTTACTAATTGTTAATTTCCGTCGGTAATTTACATATGAATTTATCCGTCGATAATTAATTGTTAATTTATCGACAGATTTATCGACAAATATATCCGTTGGTAAATTCATCCGTAAATTATCGATGGATATATCTCGTCGTAACTAATTATTAATTTATCGACGGATATATTCGTCGGTAAAATCAAATTTTATAAATATTTTATATCCGTCGGTAATTTCCGTCGGTAAATATCCGTCGGTAATACGTGATTTTTTTAGTGAATATAAAGTTAATAAAAATAAATAGTTACAAATAAAATAAGATATAAGAATGTTACTTTATGAATGCGTATCAAGATGAATGTTTATTTTAAAAATGTATTGTTATGTCATTTTTTTTTCTTTTTAGGTCTTATAACATTTGCAACTCATTTAGGCAGAGATATTAATCCCACTCTGTGTTTGCATTGAAGTAAAAATTTGAGGTGATTTGAATGGATTGAGGAAAAAATATTGGAATGGAAAGAATTTAAATGAATTTATTATAATATGATTGATATAGAATAATTAAATAATAATATTTTGAATGTAATAGCCAATTTGTAAGGTAGAAGGAGATATTTATATAAATTAGAAAAGAAAAGTTAAGGAGAGTAATTCATACATTTATTATTTAACCACCTATTTTCTCACAATTTTTCATCATTTCAAAGTGAATTTATGAAAGAATGAGACTCAACTCCCTAACATCCAAATCCATTCCAATCAACAGAAAGAAATCAACATATATTCCCACAAATTATTAAATTTAAATCTTCTACTATAATAGTGAAAATAAACAAAATATGAAAGTGGTGACTATGGCTAACTTTATGAGTTTTAGGATAAAGTGAGGATCATACCTAGCTTTCTTATTATAGGGTTGTTAATATTATTTTTCTCTTAAAATTGTGATTAACTCTAATGTAATTTTTTTATAATTAAATTATTTCATTATTTCTTATTAAAAATTATTTAAGAAAGATTAATATAATTTTACTATAAATAAATATTTAATTTGTTACTATAAGAAAGGAGAGTAACATTTTATACACGAGTTTCATTTATTACAAAGATAAAAAGACTCAATGTTTATTTAAAATTTTAAAAATTATATGAAGGTTATTTAATTAAAAATATGAGTTTTTTTTTTTGAATTAGAGGTGCAAGTCTAATTAGTATATCTTTAAAGAAAGTAAGTCTAATTTATTTTTGCATGATAAATTAATTTTGTCCATGTTTTGCCTTACTGGATGGCACTCTCCTCTTTTACCATTTTGACAGTGTCATGTGTTATGTGGTGGAATTGCTACTCCTAGGATTTTTAAACAAGAGTATAAAATTTTATGATTAGATTTCTTAGTTATCTTACACATTACACTTACCAAGATTTTTATAGTGTATATGTACCATAAATTAGGAGATTCTTTTATATAATTCATATTTACTGTCTATGTATAAAATAATATAAATAATGAGTTATCAAAAAGAATATCTCATTGTTACACTATTAAAACAAATATTATTAAAAGTCTTATACATAAGATCATTTTACTATCTTTTAAAAAAAATATTTCATATCCATTTGTTATCGTATTATTCTTTTTTTTATGCTAAATAAATCTTCTTATTCCAAATAAACTGGATTGAAAGATATCTAAATACAAGTATTATCAATTGTTTTTCCTTTATGCAATATTTTTTTTCTTTTTTCTTCCATTTACTCTATCTAAATACAAGTATCTAATTTTTTTTTATTTGGGTGAAATCTAGTCATAATTAAAAATTTAATTATTGTTTAATATTATTTTTCTCAAAGAAATAAGAATGAAATAATGAACATTATTATACTAGATTAGTCAAATGGTTACTTCATAAAGTTTTCGCAAGGTTCACAAAATAATATACAAATTCTTCCAAAAGGAATATTTGGATCACTGTCTCATATATGAACTAAAAGTAATGAGACTTAGCATATGGTAAAATTTCTACAGGGGATCTTGGTGTCAATCCAAGCGCATAGACTTTTAAAGTTTTTCTTTGTTGGCTAGAGACTTTATCATGAAAATGAGAGGAAAATTGTGGGTAATAATGATTATTCAAACAATCTTCTCATGTCTTGATAGAAACTCTATAATAATACTCTGATTTCTTTTAATATGTTTCACAAAATATTTGTGTTTGAGAATTTGTGGACAAGGGACATCTTATCTTTGAAATCCAAAGAATCTTCAAAAAGGAATACATCCATTTGGACTTAACATTATAACTCATTAAGTGGAGAGTAAGATATTTTTTATGTCATTTTTTTTATCGTTAGAGTTTCTTTGAAGATGGTGTAATAATATTTTTCGATTTCTTGGAATTTTCCACTAATACGTCTGTAGTAGTATCTCTTGTTGGTAACTTCTTCAATGAGAATTGTTCCCCAATAAGTATCACTCGATCAGTTTGAAGAGTTTTCTTGTCATTATTTGGAATTTTCAATACTAATGAAGTTTGATCTAGTGTTTTTTATTTTTGAACAACTTAAGTGCGCTTTAGTCCTAAAAAAGGAGGATTTTCTTCAATAGTTTGGACAAAAGACTAGTGTATTTTGCAACATTATGGATAAAATCTCAAATATAATTAATAATTCATAGAAATTGTTAAATTTGTTTGATGGTCAGATTTTGATATGA